TAAAATTGTGATTGTTAAAATTTGTGACAGTATCATTAGGAGGGTCAGCTTCTGTTGTGTGTGTTAACACAAAGCTGTATCTCATAAGGAACTGGGTTATGTTGACTTTTAGATATCAGACAAGAAACAAAACAAAACTAAAAGAGAGAGGGGGGGAATGTTATGGCACCTTAAAACTGTTATATTTTAATGTGAGCTTTGCGGATCCAGTTCACTTCCTCAGACGTCAGAGTGAGACTATATGACAATTAATATTCCCTCTAAGCTGTGTGCTCACACGCTTGCCCAGAGCTCCCTGTTGGGGTTGGGGTTGCTTGTGCACAGGCAGCTGGCATCCGTTTTGTTTACTTTGTGTTTCGAATGAAGCCCCACCCATTCCCCCCCACACAAGATCCCATGCAGTGGGACACAAACTTAGAATGTTGATGACAATCATATTTTTGCATGACCCCATGACCAGCTGGGGCTACAGATAATGGACTAAGTGACAATGATTCTCTAGGAAAGGAAAAGGCTATCAGGCTGTCAGCAGCGTAGTTCTTTGTTGTGGTCTCTGTGAATCACACATATGGGTTATGCGCCTGTGCAGAAAACTGCTTCAGAACTTTCCAGAGCCTAAAGAGAAGTATTTCCCCCTTTCCCCAGAGCTACTGCACATGACCAGACATACCCTGATAGCTGTCCTCAGTCAGTTGCATGAGCAGCATCTTAAGAGAATGCTGGAGCCTTACTTAGAATTCTGTTCTTCACAAAACTGCAAATAGTTGTTTCTCTTTCTTCTACTTCTTCATCTTCTCTTTTCAAAATAAAAGTTATGGTTATTGTAAGATTTTTTTTCTTGCCATTATTGTTGGACTTTTTTCTATTTTCCACCTAAATTTTATGGCTTCTGGGGCTCTTCAAAGTATGTTGCTTGCAGGGGGGCAAAGTGCCTCATTCTGATGGACATGATAAATGCCTTTTCTGTCTTGGCAATGGTCATAATACTCAGAAGTGTAAAGATATTTAAGGGCTTTACCGGAAAAATTGCCTCAGTAGACTGGTCCTGTCTCTGGAAGAAAACTGCAAAATCCACAAACACAGTTCCTCGGCTGTCAACGAGCCCACAAGCAGCACAGAAACTTTCTTCATCACTTAAAGAGACAATGGAGCCATTGAAATATGTGGATCTTCTGAGCCCAGATGTATCTGTGTTAGCTTTGAAATCAGCTTTGGTCTCAGCACCGACTTTGATGCCAATATTGAAGGCTTTTTCAGTGCTGACCCCGGAAAAATGAAAGACATCTGTTGAAAGACAAATTTTTTAAAAAAGAGAGTGAGAAGAAAAATGAAAGACATCTGTTGGAGACAAGGAAGACAAATTTTTTAAAAAAGAGAGTGAGATATAAACACCATGATGCATTGACATATTTTAAGCCTAAGGAGGCTGAACTTCAGTCAAGGAGCATTCCTGCATCTCATCGGGGTTCTTCATCTGATCGATCTCCAGCTCCTTCAGATCCTGACAGTGGAGATGTTATGAGTTTGGGATTGGTATCTAAGGAAGTTAGTGGGATCACCTTCCTTTGTTACACTATCTACACCACCTTGTTCATCAGGTGAGTTGATGCAGCAGGTTTTGATGGAGTCATTGCCAAAAACTCCTCAACAATGTGCTTCTTGTAGGAATCGGAACCAAAGGCAATCACAATTGAAGTAAAGATCTCCATTGAGATCCCCATAATGTTTATCTCAATACCAATCTAGATCTGTGATTCCAAGGAGGTCCAGGTGTGGGTTGCGGTCTTCATATATACCATAGAGAACATTCTATGGATCCTTGATATCAGCCGGAACATGGTTTCATTCTATCATTTTTGTATCCTCCACTGTTCTTTGGTGGCTATGATTGGGTTTCCCTTCAATCATTGCCTGATGAATGTGGAGCCCATTGGTAGAGGTGTCCATTGTAAAGACTCCACTTCTTTGATATCAGCAGATATCAGTGTCTCTGAAAGGAAGCCCATTAGCTTCAATTTCAAAATTGACAGATTCTTCAACATCATACACTCAGTGTTGCAGTTATAGCATGAGATGGAATCTACAGCTTATGTGATACAAAAACTGTTCAATGGTGTCCACTACCTCTGTAATGAAGTGTGCCAGACTGACAGTATGCCCACTTCAGACATGATTGCTCCACAATTTCAATCTGTTAAGAGATCACCCAACAAAAAGATTTTGGTTGCTCAATAATCTCAAAATGCAGCTGTCCTGGTAGGCAGTACCTGTTCACCTGTTAATGAGAATACCTTTCAAACAACTCCACCCATCCAACATGATCACAACAGATGCTGGTCTCAATGAATGGGGAGCACATTGTAGGGGCAGTGCCGTTTATGAGCGCTGGACTGTGGTTGAACACCATATCAGTTATCTAGAATTATTAGCATTTCCCAACTCTTTGGTTCAGGTAATCACAAACAATACAGTAGCAGTGTATCATATAAACATGCAAGGAGGCATTCATTCTTCAGCCCTTCTCACCACCCAGTTGTGGGAATGAAATGAATATTGGTCATAAAGATATAATTCTTTGGCTTTTAGATTTAGATCAACATATTTACTTGCTGTAGAAAAGATGCAACTCCATTCTCAGCAGGTGTGGCTACACTTGTACACCTGTGATGAATGATTTTCGTAAGCCAATCTACAAAATAATGTGCTAAAAAGATCTCCCCCTTGATCTGTCTGAACAGACACTATGGGAGTACTAAATTTTTGTTCCATCATAGCAACAAAATCTTTTAATCTTTGGAAAGTTTCACTTTTCCTTTTCATTACATAGGCATAGCTATAACTCGAGTAGTCTTCCGTTATAGTTAAACAGAACCTATTACCACCTTTTGTGGGCTGCAGTGGTCCCACAACATCAAGATGAATCAACTGTAAAATCTTGTCACTGACTCTTTTGCTTTTCTTGCTCACAGGAAAAGCCTTTGACTTGGTTAATTTACATACTTTACAATCTAAATATTTCTCATAGTTTTTAATATTTAGATCAGAAACAGCTTCTTTAGATTTGTTTAAAATTCCAAAGCTTACATGACCTAACTTTATATGTAGGCTATGTATACACTTTTGATGTGGTTCTGAGTTGTTAACCACATTTATGGCTTCATTCATTTGGCTCTGATTCATCACATATAGATGATCTTTTAGATAACCATTTCCCACCTGTGCATCAGTTTTCATTACTTTGCATTTACCTTTCTCAAAAATTATAGTGTAGCCATCTTTATCTAGACTTGATACACTTAATAAATTATTCTCTAAGCTTGACACACACAAGACATATTTTAGAGTTTGCTTTAAATAGTGTATGTACACAGAACCTGTTCCAGTTACAGATGCTGACTTTCCATCTGCTAGCTTCACTATCTTTTGAGCTGAAGGGGTTAAGTTTGTGAACGACTCTTTTCTCTGGCACATATGCTGAGAAGCTCTGCTATCTAAAAGCCATAAATTGCTTGTTTTCACAAGCTGAATACAATCTATACATGACTCAGGTAAAATCAGCCGTTTTACACTTAACTATACAACACTAATACTTAATACATTTTCATATCAAAATCTCAACAAAACATCAAATATAAGAAGTAATGCTAGGTATAGAGAGGTCCTTTCAAATTTTGCAGATCTCTAAATTCTTATGTATTTACTCTGGGCTAAATCCAATTTCTGACCCCAATTGGAATAGGCCCATTGAATCAATGGAACATACAGTACATAAGTGGTAATGTCACAAATCCCATGTGTCAGTCATTTTTCAATCATTATTCTTGTTGGGAATAAATATTTAGATTTAGACATTCTTTACTTGTAAAAATTAAATGATTGCCCTAGTTTGATGAACAGAAATGTCCATTATCTTGATAATACAGTGGTGCCTCGCTTGACGATGTTAATTCGTTCCAGCGAAATCGCTGAACAGAAACTGTTCAATGCATTCCAATGGGCTGAAAACTCACTGTTCAGTGAAGATCCTCCATAGGAACGGCCATTTTCCATGCCTGTGCAGCGAGGTATCCGTCCCTAAGCACAGCAGGGGGCTATTTTCTTCAGCTGGTGGCCATTTTGAGACCCGACCATCAGCTGTTTTTGATCATCGTAAAGTGAAAATCTGTTCCTGAAGCAGGGAAGCGATCATCGCAAAGGGGAAAAACCCCATTCAAACCATTGTTTTGCGATCGCAAAAGCAATCGCAAAAACCTCATCGTCAAGTGGATTTGTCGTTAAATGGGGTAATCGTAAAGCGGGGCACGACTGTATAGCTCGAATTTCTCTTCTGTACATTATTCTGGGTTGAAAATTGTGCAAGCCAGGAACTCCTCCATCCCTATCCATTGCTAAAGAAACACGGTTCTAACCAACATAGAGGATTGTGCCTCAGAGGCAATGAGTCTCGATTTAATGGCTGTTCTTACCCATCCACCCCACAATCGGAGGGGGAGGTAGAAAGACATGTGAGAATGTAAGTAAAATCAGACAGGTGAAAACTAGTCCTTCTGCAGCTGGCATCCTCTGCATCAATTCTTGACCGGGGGGGTGTGTGTCATATTTGTGACTGCAACCTTTATTCTCTTATTGATTGTTGATTAAGGATAGTTCTCATTGGTCACCAGAGCAATTATCTGACTGATGTCATGGTACTGTGTTGTTACTTTACCTTTTAGTTTATTTGTTTTTTTAAATGTACTGAGGTAAGTAAGGATAGACAAATAGAAGCATGGATTTGGAAATGTGTTGTATGAATAGGCAAACGTGCTTAGTTGTTGACTGTATGTCTTTACTGGCTAGAGTGTTCAGTTCCCTTGCTCCTGAGCTGTCTCATATTAATGTTTGAAAATGAAAACAAGTGCCTTTTAAATATGTTAGAATCAATTAGTCTGATTGTATAGTAGACTACCATATATGATACATTATTTGCTCTTAGTAATGAAAACCTTTTTACATTCTAGGCAAAGTCGTGCATCTGTCATATGTGTGGTGCCCATCTGAACAGACTCCATTCTTGTCTGTACTGTGTCTTCTTTGGCTGTTTTACAAAGAAACACATTCACGAACACGCAAAGGCAAAGCGACACAACTTAGGTAAGTATTTTTCGTAGACTCTTACAATATCATTTTTTATTTTCTAATGGAAAATTCTTGCAACTGGAGAGAACTATGTTTAAATCAGATGAATCCCAAAAACCTATCTTTTGTCTGTAGAAAATATTTCATATAATTCATGCAATTTTTCTAGTAATCTTACAGTCTGAAGTTACTGCTAATCATGACCATGGTTAATTGAGGCTAAGTTGCTAAGTATATATACACAAATAACCTGCGATTAGCAGAGTAGCACAAGGCATAATTGGTGCTTCTACTTGAAGTAGAAGAAGGAACACTAATTCTCTTGGATGACTATAATGTTGGTTTGTCTGACGATTACCGTTAGAGAGTTGTCATGTCATTGATGGAAAATGCCAGTGCTTAATTCCATTGGATCATGAATTCAGTTTCGGTGTGTAACCAATGGTCTAGCTTATAAAATGAAATGTCCTGTGATAAATTATTCTGGAAGATCCCGTCACATGCTTCCTTAAAGCTAAAGCTCATCCCTTTTACTCCATAAAGAAATAAATGAGTTTCAAATTCACCTGGATAAATTCACATATTAGTGTATATCAATTGATGTATAATCTATTTTTACCTCTGGTACATTTTGTCTGTATTAGTCATTTGGCTGTAGAGCCTCCTTTTAGATTCTTTTTGGATTTTTTAAAAATGGATTTTGATTGTTATGTGTTTACTTCGTTAGTTACAAACTTTCTATCTACTGCCTCATCTTTCCAGCCTTGTCAGATGTTCAGCCTGATAGGATTCAGCAAACAGTATGTCATCTTCTCTTATCAAAGCCTATGCAAATATCTTAGTCTTTTAAAAAATCATTACATTGATGTATCTCTTGAGATGTCTTAACTGGAACCAAGAAGCTTGAGTTGTCTATCCATAAAGTCAGACATTTTGCCCATCTTACATGTAGGCATTCATGTAATCTACATCCACTTTGATAAGTTTCTAAACTTCTGAGATGGGAATTCCTTTTTTAATCAGGTTGCTTGAAATGCAGCACCCCTCCCCCCACTTTGCACATAGTAGAACATTCTGAGCTATATCCTCAGTTCAGGGGTCTTGATGAAGACACATGTCCTGAGTGCAAAGCCTATAATGAACTCAACCCTGGAGTAATGTTTTTGTAGGACACTTGCCCATTATTGCTGATTTTAATCACAGTAGGGCTCCCCATGAGCTTCCAAGGAAGCTTATTGTAGTGTTCTGATGGGAAGATGATAGAACTGGGGCCATTATTTAATCAGTGGTTTCTTAAAAAAAAAATATAGCAATTTTCATACCTTTTATATATTCTTATTTTGTGTAGCAAGTTCGTATTTCAGTGAGAGTATAAATTGGTGAAACAGTGAGTCTCTTTGCATGGCTGTAGTGACAGCACATTTAAAGGCGTAGTAAAATGCTTAACAGTGTAGCGGCATAACGCATAATGAGTTTGTGCTTTTTTATTTTTTGGTGTGGCAGAGTTGACATGATTTGGTTTCTCTCTGTATTCCATGCTCTCCCTCTTCATCACCGTCCTGCTTTACTTCCTACTTCCGGTTTCTTTCATAATAGTGTGGGTACCAGGATTGGGCCTTCAGTGTTTGGAGAGCTAGGAAATGTGAAGTAGAAAGTGTTGTGGCTCCTGCATTGTGAGTTCCCCCACGTCTCTGTGTAGAAAACCATGGAGAAGGCCCAGGTTGAAATCACTGCTTGGCTGTAAAGATTGAAGAGTGATCTGGGACAAGTTGCTTTGCTCCACCTTATGAGTTCTTCCCTGCATCACAGGGCTGTCATAGAAGATGGGGAATGAGAATGACCCATTTATGCTGCCTATTCTGAAGTCTTTGGAAAAGAGATGGAATAAAAATATGATTAACAACTCACCAGAATAGTTGGACAAATGTGGACACTGACCAGGTTTACATATTTGGAGAAGTGGCAACAAACCCCATCCTTTGTAACTGTTACCTACCTCCAGCTGTGTGAGTGTGATGTTTAACATTAGGCCTGCTGTGTTTTTAAGAATCCTCACCATCTAGAATACCTGAAATGCAGTGGGAACCACTGTTATGTCCCATCCTTGCTTTTTACTATTTGCAGCTTCTGTGGAGGGAGAGAAAAAGAGAGGGCACAAGAGTGGCTTATGGGTAGGGTGATATTTTAAAGTCTAAGTTCCTGGCAGAAGGCTTCCACTGTCTACTGTCTGATTTCCTGCTGGCTGGTTTTTAGCATGGATGTTGTTGAAAGTAGAGAAAGGTACTAGATGAGAGCTGGTGATCATAATTAGAATGGCCTTCAATGAATGGAAGGGTTAAGATGTTCTGTTTGATTACTTGATTGCCTTGGGAGCCATATGGTGCAAGAGTGGGATATGAATATGGTTTATTCTAAAGATGCTGTAAATCAGAGCAAGGGCAGGCAGGGGACTTAGATGGCACTCCTTGAAAAATGTGAGGATTGTGAACACATTTGGATGTCCACTGGGGAACAACAGTACCATTTTGGGTGGTCCTTTGCACTCCACAAGCATCAGTGGATGCTTCTAACATGAAGGAAAGAAGAAGGTCAAAGAAGCAATAATTTTTAATATTTACAGTTGTGTTCAAAATTATTCAACCCCCAATGCTGTAAAGGGGTTTAGGGACTATAGTGTACATTTGGAATTGTATTCAGAATGAAATCCTACAAGGACGTTTGAAAGAACCAAATGCAACTAAAATAACATCAATTGTTTATGTAATACAGTAGTAAATGTTTCTTTTGTGGTTTCTTCATTGCCACAATTATTCAACCCCTTAAAGACTACCACTCTGAAGAAGAGAGGTTCATTCAGGTGTTTTCGATCAGGTATTGAAAACACCTGTGGATGTCACCGAGCACCAATCAAGCATAATAAGCACCAATTAGGCAGCTTTAAAAGGACTGTGATACTCAGCTCCTTCTAGACATTTACTGGTGTGGTTACAAACATGGTGAAGTCAAGAGAATGGTCCAGGAAGACAAGAGAAGAGGTGATTTGTCTTCACAGGAAGGGCAATGGCTATAAGAAGATTGCAAAGAAGTTAAACATACCAAGAGACACCACAGGAAGCATCATTCGCAAATTCAAGGCAAAGGGCACTGTTGAAATGCTACCTGGTCGTGGAAGAAAGAAGATGCTGACTTCGACTGCTGTGCGCTACCTAAAGCGTAGAGTGGTGAAAAGTCCCCGTGTGACTGCTGAGGAACTGAAAAAAGATTTGTCAGATGTGGGTATAGAAGTTTCAGCTCAGACAATAAGGCGCACACTGCGTAATGAAGGTCTCCATGCCAGAACCCCCAGGCGCACCCCCTTGCTGTCTCCCAAGAATAAGAAGAGTCGACTGCAGTATGCCAAAAGTCATGTGGGCAAACCACAAAAGTTGTGGGATAGTGTTCTGTGGACTGATGAAACAAAATTAGAACTGTTTGGGCCCATGGATCAACGCTATGTTTGGAGGAGGAAGAACAAGGCATATGACGAAAAGAACACCTTGCCTACTGTGAAGCATGGCGGAGGGTCAATAATGCTTTGGGGCTGTTTTGCTTCTGCAGGTACAGGGAAGCTTCAGCGTGTACAAGGTACCATGAATTCTCTTCAGTACCAGGAGATATTGGATGAAAATGTGATGCAGTCCGTCACACACCTGAGGCTTGGGAGACGTTGGACCTTTCAACAGGACAATGATCCCAAGCATACCTCCAAGTCCACTAGAGCATGGTTGCAGAGGAAAGGCTGGAACATTTTGGAGTGGCCATCGCAGTCACCAGACTTAAATCCGATTGAGAACCTCTGGTGGGACTTAAAGAAAGCAGTTGCAGTGCGCAAGCCTAAGAATTTGACTGAACTGGAGGCTTTTGCCCATGAAGAATGGGCGAAGATACCCGTAGATCACTGCAAGACACTTGTGTCAAGCTATGCTTCACGTTTAAAAGCTGTTATAACTGTAAAAGGATGTTGTACTAAGTACTAAGATTGAATGTCACTTGGGGGTTGAATAAAAACTAATAATGATGTGAGCACAGAAAAGACATTTGTGGTTATTTCATTATAAACTTAAGGTTATATTTCTCTGACCTACAAGTGCCTCTTTCATGTAAATGTAAGCAAGATGACTGAATGATCAAAATCAATGTCAAAATGGCCAAAACATTCAATTTCAGTGGGGGTTGAATAATTTTGAACACAACTGTATTTGATTAAAATATCAGATGAAAATATTCACCAACTATACTTGGGTTGCAAGTGCTACTGTATCCATGGAGAAAGCCCCTCCCGAAACCTGGTTGACAATATGCATATCAAAGAATGAGAAAAAAATTATTTTTGAATCACTGACTTTTGCTGAACTAACACTGGTCTCCATGGAGATCACCAACTATACTTGGGTTGCAAGTGCTACTGTATCCATGGAGAAAGCCCCTCCCGAAACCTGGTTGACAATATGCATATCAAAGAATGAGAAAAAAATTATTTTTGAATCACTGACTTTTGCTGAACTAACACTGGTCTCCATGGAGACAAGAAGAAACGGAAGCTCTAGACGACAAATAGTATAGCTTTAGTAGTAACAACAACTTCTGTACTGTAAAATGAATTATTTGCCTCTTCTAGCAACCGAAACCCAAGAGTGTCTCCCCAAAGCTTTTTTGCCACACCCAGTGTACAACCTTATATCAAGGGCAATCTCCCCCTCCTTGTATTCTATTCTGTCTCCATAGCTGGCATGTTGTCAGCGCTCTCTAAATACCTTCCTTTCCAGGTGTGAACAGCAGTAGGACGTGTATAAGAGCTCTGTTTCTTTTACATACATTAAGTCACTCCTGTGTCTATGAATAGAGACTAGACTGCCAAAAAGAAAAGAAAAGAAAAAAGAAAAAAAGAGAATTTTGCAGAGTCTTGCTATACAATCAGAGAAGGAAGAGATTCAGGCCAGTTTCTGATGCATCAGCTTGTAAGGGTATTCTTCTTTTCAGACAGAAGTATGGCATATAAAAGAAAATAATCTTGCCACAACATCTGATCATTGATGAACTACAATGTTGCTGGACTAGATTTCTAGATGCTTGAGGCCATTTTTGTGGTTCCGGCATGCTAGGTCCCTTTGCAATGGCAAACCTTTGAATTGGCCATATTGTTTTTGGAAAAAGGTCCCATATCAGATGCAATGGATAAGGTGACCTCCATCATTGTCACCTGCTGTTCTCAAAACAACCTGGGAGTGTTTGTTGAACTGGATTTACTGTGTATTTGCTAAGAACCAGAACACAAGTTGACAAAAAAGCAACCCCTAAAAATAAACATATTTGGTATAATTGACCTGATAAAACTGTATTCGGTACAATCACATCAATTTTCATAAGTGACAAAATGAAGAGAGAGAACTTTTCAAAATGAACAGTCGTAATTTCAAATATATTGATGTCTGTCAAGGAGACAGGAAGCTGCATAATGATAAGTTGCCCCATTGGTCAGTCTAACTCAGCATCATTTGTATCTCTTATTGGCAAATATTTTCTGTAGTTATCTCATTCTTCTGTGAGAAGTCTCTAGGCTAGGAAAGTGATGTTTGCTTGATGATAGTCATTTTGTGGCCTAAAATGGAGCTATACAACAGTATACTTGGACATGGTAATTAACTAATCTTTGTGGAATTCCTTCCAGGAACATTTATTACTTCACTTCATTTTGTGCGTCTGTTCATGCACTTAATTGATGTACTCCAGAAATCATTCTTCGAGAGCATTGGTGGAATTGGTGCATAACTGACTGTTGGTTGCTGGATTGGTGGTAATGTGGAGAAAGCTCCATTTCACAATGCCTTGGGAGAACGTTGGAAAATGGGTGCCAACCTGCCTTTTGTGAGAGTAGGTGACACAAAGGGATAAAGAAACTGTTGCATCTTCTACACATCTGCCACACAGAGCCCCTATTAATCGGGGTCCATGGTTTCCATATAATATTTCTTTGGATTTTTTCATTAAGAAGCTTTCTTTATTCTGGATTTCATTTCAGAAGGATCCCCAAAGTAATTCACAGGCTAAGATCAAAACAAATTCACTCTGTTCAAAAATTGATTTCATGTGAACTATAGGAGGCATTACGAAAGCTAATTCCATTTAGCAGTAGGATGTTGTTACTTTCAAAATTGCATGCCCTTGCTGCCAGTGCCAACAAACATACACTGTATATTTCATTGCATGTAGGGAAATGTCAAATAACACACCAGTGTGTACCTGAGAGGGAAAATGAGGAATCGGGCAATCTGTGAAGTGATTGTTGGACAGGCAGAAGCAGATACGAAAGATGTAGAAGAGTGGAATGAAGAAGCAAGGTGGCTGTTGGTTGCCTTTCCAAGTGGCAATCAGAGCATCAAGCTTAAGCAGGAATGGTATTGTGAGAAGCCATGCCATTGTTTGCTTACAGATCTGTTAATGCTTGTTTGCATGTCCAGTGCAATACAAAGAAAAAAGTTCTGTGTATCCATAATGGAGAACCATGATTGTGGCAGATCACTCTGGAAGCATATTGGTAGTATTGGCAGCCTCTGTTATAAGCCAGTATAAATTTTCATGTAATGATTACGTGAACTGAGAGAACAGGTGTCCTAATTGGTACAAAATAGCGTCCCCTAGGATGCATAGTGGGTGATTGTTATTATTTTAAATCATTGTCTTTTGTTGTGAAAATTCTTTGTGCAAAACTTATAATAAAGAGCCATAAATATCCACCCCAGGTACAGCATTTCAGTATTAGGGTGCAACATTTCTAGTACAGAAAGACTTTGTGGTAGTTTTTTAAAATTTAAAATGCAATTGCAAGGTTACTTTGTACACACCACAGACTTTTATAACATTTTTTTAAGTCAAAAGGCTTTATTTTCAAATAGAGCTTGCAGATACTGCTTTGCAATCTCCATTTGTCCACCCACCCTTTTGCTATAGCAACAGTTACTTTGTATATAACTTATATAAGCAAGAACCATCTTCTGTGTAACATAGTTAAAAATGGGAGTTTGTTATTAAAATCATCTCCATGTTTATATCCTGATTATATAAAAATGATGGGAATAGTGTATGGATGAGTTCTATATTCATTTTTTACTTTAATATCTATTCATTTCTATTATCTTACCTTATCTACTAAGATGATGCTTCTAAATTTATATCTTGGCATTTAGAAGCAACAGAGAGCTATATAGAAGCTACGTGTGATAGTACCTCCTAAAAAGTATTATATTGTAGGGACAAAGCCCATGAAAAGTCTCTGGCAGCCATAATAATCTGGCCCAGTTATTGGCTGTGTTGGGGAAAACGGCTGCCTGTATATGTGATCCTGTAGATGTTGCTTATTCTTTTATAGAATAAATAAATAAATAAATGTAGCCACTGTGAGATTTCAAACTAAGCTTTGGACAAGCTGCATAGTCCCAAGGCACCCCCAGAAGAAAAGACTATGGAACCATTTCTGAGTAGTCTTTACCCAGAAAACCCCGACTTGACCGCACACCACCACCACCACCACCACCATCATCATTTTTAATAATAATGTACATAAGCCAGTTCTTGTAATCCTTGCATTAAAAGGTCTACCATGTTTGTGATAGAAGTTGGCGATTTCTTGCACACACTGAGGGTGAAGGCAAATTGCATGTCTGCTTAAGGCTTGTCAATTTATTAATTGCTGTATTAGATGGGGGTTAGATCATTTATTTTGTATGTGGAATAATCGCATGAGCCAGGAGACATGATCCTGATCCCCCCAACCCATTTTTAGAAAAAATAAAAATCTGAAGAAGACTTTAGTGGTGTGGATTTAATCAGTAAACAATGGAGTCATCTTTGTAAACAATGGAGGCATGATAGTATAGATTTAATCAGTAAACAATGGAGGCATCTTTGTAAACAATGGAGGCATGATAGTTTGCATGTGATTTCATAGAAGATACTGATTTTCAAAGGAATGGAATGGAGGTGTAATAGTTTATGAGGTAGAGACACTCTATTCTAGTCCTCAGATTTTTAAAAATAACAGTTGCCTGCTTTGGGCTTAGAGATACAGATGTGTCCACACATTTGCAAAGACAGCAGGTTTGGGGATCGCTTGGGTCCCTCTTCTCTTCCTATGCCCGGGCTGGATAAAAAAGCAAGTTGGGCTTGATGTGGCCCACGGGCCATAGTTTGGAGACCCCTGATTTAGAAAAGTGGTTCCCAACCTAGGGTAACCCAGGTGTTCTTGTACTGTAGTTCCCAGAAACTCCAGCCAGCACAGCTGGTGGTGAAGGCTTCTGGGAGGTGAAGTTCAGGAACACCTGGGTTACCCATAGTTGGGAACCACTGATCAAGAAGACTCTTCAGATGGATTCAGTAGCTTGCTGCCCAAGGGCAGGTACAGAAAAATGAGCAAGAGACAGGAATCAGCTAGGTGACTCACAGTTACAGAGGGGCGATTACATTTTTTTCTGCTAGGAAGCTCAGACTGCTTCGGTCATAAGGCCTCCTGAAGAATGTGCAGCTTAGAAGAAGTGTGCTCTGGTTGCCTTTGGATTATAGACTCTTATCTGCGTTGATCTCAGACTCAGTAAAATACACATTTTGCCACCAGTTTGGTGTTAGTGTGCATTGCTATAATTGATTGTCTTGTTTTAATTCAGTTTTCTGTAACATTAATTAAATGCCTCCTCAATTTGCAACATATGTTTTCTATACCCTGCTCTTTTTTAAAAAAATGACTGGCAGTATTTAAAGTTAGAGGGGAAGAATGCATAATGTTGATTGTGTTCAGTCCCGAGTCCACAGTAGTCCATTTAACTGCCAAGCAAAACGAAACAATATTTTAAATGTTATCCAATTAATTTGTCTGAGATGCTTGGCAGTAGAGTGGTGACATCTAAAATCAGTGATGTCATGCAGTGCATATCGGTATATTCATGCCCCTACAGCACATATAGAGGAACAATAGTAAGAAAACCCAAAGTCTGTATTTTAAATTCTTTGTTTCTTCTCTCCCCTCCCCCACCTCTGTTTCTACAGCCATAGACCTTTTGTATGGGGGTATATACTGCTTTATGTGTCAAGATTACATTTACGACAAAGATATGGAGCAAATTGCCAAAGAAGAACAACGGAAAGCTTGGAAGCTACAAGGTTTGGTTTTCTTTACGTATCTGCCTGAAATAATGTTTATTTTCCTTTTTTAGTTATACCCCACCCATCAAAGGTAGAAAGCACTGAAAGGAAGATTGACTTTCTTTGGGGCACCAATGCAGAATGTGGGTGATACAAATATAGAGATGATTTGTCTTTTGAGGTTAGGCTATTTAGTATGCACACTTCACTAAATCCTGGCCAAACAGAGTTTTAAAGATTATTTTAAAAAAAAGAACACCTCCCTCCCTCTTGTGATTATACAAAGTTAACAATAAAACACAATAAATCTGCCCTGTAGAGGGTCATAGTCAAGACATCTGTACCTTCATAAGAACTGCCACTGTTTCCTTGTGCATTTATCTCATAGAATATGCAGGCTTTCTAAGCACATGTTCTTGTTTACACACACAGTTTGTATATATGTAGATATTGACACACAAATATGTGTACACACATTTGTTTTATTATTCAGTTTGCTTTCCCTAATTTTTTCTTTTTTAGCCTTCACCCCAACAATGGTTTCTCACTACCAGTGTACAATGACAGGTAAGAAGTGTGGGCTGGTGACGCATTTCACTAACAAGCGTCCCTTTGCTGATTATCTGCCATTTTTAGACAAGAATTTTGGTGTACAATGGCACTGTGTGTTGTTTCCTTTTTATACAGAATATATATTGGGGTTACAAGGTGATAAACATTACTTTCTCATGGCTGAGCTACTCCAAATTATTACCTGCCTCTTATTTTTATTTTTTATTTTGTCAGAAGGCGCAAGTAGACATTATTTTAGCTAACCTGAGGGATTTTGAGGGAACGTCTGCCTAAATCTATATTTAACTATGTGAATAAATTTATTCTTAAAAATAAAGCTTGCACACTGTATAGCACCTTCATTCCTGAAACAGACATTGCATTGGGCTGATAGATCCCCAATTTTGGAACACTGTTTTTGAAGTAGTTCAGTCAGAGGAATGGGAAGGCTAGCAATGGGGTTTTGGACTAGGAAAATGGTACCAAAAAGATTTTTTTTTTTGTCAAACACATTTCAAGGAAAGACTGACAGAGAAAAGCTAAATATTTGGGAAAGTATTTTTAAAATCTTGGCCTATCTCCAGTTGCTTGCCACATGTAGAGTAGACCTGTTGAATCAGTGGGATTTGCACAAGTTTTGGCTTACTGTTCAGTAGATCTATTTTAGTTGGGGACTAGCAGCTGGATTTAGGCGGTTGTGTTTTGTTTAGCATTGAATAACCTCTTAAACATGTTGAAATGTGCTTGTGTTTGGCCTGAGAGGTAATTAATTTGAAAGAGCAAAACAGCTGCACTGGACATAAACTGTAGACTTGACACTGGGTATTGCTGGCTTGGTTCTAAACATTCATCCACCATTGAAATCTGTGTAACTTGGATTTAATTTGACTACTTCGGGAATGTAGCAGAATGCCAATTTTTGATTTTTCTCTTGTTCTTGTCATGCACTTCTTTTCCCTTCCAGCACAAATGGGGATGAGTTAGGGGACATTCTACTGAAATGGGCCATCTTGATTTCTCTGGGAACACCAGCATAATTTCATGTGTATTAATTACTAGCTAAGCCTTATCTGGAGCCTTGGATAGTATTCAGGATGCTAACCCAGAACAATACCATTAAGGATTATTGTAATAATACATGGAAAAGGAGCATTGGGAACGTCTTCATATCAAATCAGATTGTTTATCGTATCACCCAGAATTGGCTAGACTTTTGTTCTGTCTTTTAAACTGAAGATGCCAAGTTTTAGCCCAGAACTCCAGCCATTTGTAATGGCAAATGTAACCACGTCATTACCTCAGAGTTGAGGATAGGATGCACATGATATGTGTGGAGCATCTCTTCTACTACTTGCAGCTTTGTGAGCAGATTGTGGAAAAATAACTTTTAAAAACTATAAACATTTTGACCCTTTAGCCTAGATTTCGGATAATATAATCACAAAAGCAATTTTTCCAAGATTTGATAGGGAACTCTTCAGGCTGAAGGAGATTTATTTATTTATTAGAAATTCGCTTGTTTATTCAAAGAGTGGGCTTTTCCTCACTGTGGAGGAAAACAAACACACACACACACCCTCCTTGGAAGTTACATGATCCCTAACTGTTTCAGTGAATAGCTATACTTATTAGCTCTGGCCAAAGCACCCGCTGTTTGGTGGAGAATGCTGAGTTGGCAATATTCTGCCAGTCCAACCATTCCACATTTGGCTGTCTCTGTGGCTCTGCTTCTAATATTGTTGTCTGTTAATGCATAGACAATTGTGCTCCATAGAATTATTGGATACCTTGACAGGAAACCAGTTGAAAAGACAACTGAATTTCTGCTGAAATAAAGGAATCAACATTCCCGGTTATTTGAATAGTGTGCCCCAGTTTTGCCCACAAGATTTCCAAATAAATTGAAACATCGTAAGCCTGTGTATTTGGTTTATTTTCAAAAATTCAACACAAGTTTATTTTCCACTTCACTGAAGGAATCTAGAGCATCCTTCACCAACTGGGCACTCCCCCCCCAGATGTTTTGGTCTACAACTCCATCATCCCCAGCTGTCATAACCAGCTGGAAATGTTGCTAGTTCTTGTCCAATACATCTGGAACTACATCAGATTAGGTAAGATGAATCTACCGGATAATGTGTAAGCTGTTTTGCTCTGAATATTTATACACAAATGTAACTGTTTATGTTTATTATTACTACTTCAGGGACAACTGCATTTCATCCCTGCAACCACACTATAGGAATCTTGTTTATACAGTATTTATTACCCTGTTTCCCCTAAAATAAGACCTAACCTGAAAATAAGATCTAGCACAATTTCGCAGGATGCTCTTAATATAAGCCCTACCCCAAAAATAAGCCCCAGTTAAGTGAAACCCCGCCCTCCACCATTGTGCAGCAACCAGAATAAGATGACATGACTGTATTTGCATAAACATTGATTGTTGTACATGAAAAAAAAATCCCCTGAAAATAAGCCCTACTGTGTTTTTTTGGAGCAATAAGACCCTGTCTTATTTTCGGGGTAACAGGTAGGTGCTAACCTATGGTCACGTGTGCATAATCAACAAGATGCACCACCTCTAATATGTCCTTACTGTATACATGTTGTATATTTGTCCATAGCTCTGTTGTCTTGAGATTCATTGTAATTCGAACATCTTAACTGGTTGTACCCAGACAAACGTCTGCATGTCAGCATTAACCTCATCTTAGATTTATATAACTATAATCATGCACCCTTTTTTGTTTTTGTTCCTTTTTATAAATGGCATATCGTTAGTGTACTATGTCAACAATTAATAATTAGATGCATAAAGTTTTCATTCTGTTAAAGCAGCAGTAGTTTGTAGGAGCAGATTCTGACAAAATATTCTGGTACATAAACATTTCTTTGTAATTGTCCTTGAATCAGAGATACAAATATAGACCATATAATGTATTCAAAACATTATAACTGATTCAAAGCTTCATAAAAACTGCACTTTCCCTTTATTTTCCTAATTGTTAGTCCTCCCCTCTCCATCAATTGTTAGGGAACTATGTCAGAAGAAAAGATGAGGGTCATAAGAATTGCGCTAGTTGCAGTAAAGCATAAACCTTCCCCTTCCTATAGGTAGTACCTCAGTTTTATTAATCAAAGATGAGGAGCTTCCCATTATTACAAGATGCTCTGCTTAGGCATTTGGTGTGTTTGGGGGCCATATTCTCTGCTATAATAATGCTGCCCAAAGCAGAGCTCAAATTAAAAATGTAAATTAAATGCACCTGCGTGCAGCACTACAAATGGAATTAACTTTTTTAGTTTAAAATGTGTTGGGTGAAGGACATTCGTGGGGTATTTTTGAAGAGGACTTCAGAGAGTTGTTAGTGAACAGTGTGCAAAATTCTTGAATCCTACTGGTTTCATTGAATACCTGCCTTTCATTCTTTTTGAATAATACTGTATTTGGTCACTTGCTCTTTCTGTAGTACCTGATGAACTTCAGTTGACTTTTAAAGCTAAGTTTTACAACAGTCCTTTTTGTAATACCCAAAGTTGTCTTTATGAAGACCAGCAGCTACCCTTGGCACAGTAATTCAATGTATCTATTGAATAGATACAGTAACAGATACATATTATATACATTAACAGATACATTGAATAGATATATACATCAACAGATACATTGAATAGTTAAATTAACAGTAACAGCCTTCGCGAATACATATCTATTGAATAATTTCTGAGATAATTATTGGTTCCTTTTGCTGCAGTCCTATTGCACAATTAGAAGCAATTTTTAATTTGTCTTCTTTGGAATAAATCCCATTGAACTCATTGGGGCTTATCTCTAGGTAGCCATGTACAGAAGCACGTTGTCCATGGCTCAGACAGAAGATTTTGATGCACACATCTGATGCAGGGATGGGGAGTGTTTGACCCTCCAGGTACCATTGGACCACTGGCTATGTCAGCTATGGAGAGACACATGTTCCCCATCCTTATCTAATCTGCCTTGCTAACATCTTCTCTGATGATGCATATTTTACTGCCTTCAGTAATTTCCCCCACCCTTCATCTGCTGTTGCTTCGCTTAAATGACAGATTTTCAGCTGTCGCTGCTGACATCCGGGTATTATAGGCTGTAAGTTTTGGCGATTCTCGTTGATGATAGCTTGAGACATTAAAATCAGTGCATTGAACTATTTTTCAAGAGCATACAGCTTAACCAGAGCCTATGGCCTGAATCAAAAGAGCTGTCTGGATTCACCCAAGGGCTTTACAGTAGTCCACTGGAATCTTTGATTTTTTTTTTCATAGCCAGTCACCAAAATGTCTTTTGAAACTTTGCTAAAATGCTGTTTTGCTACACATAAGAGGCGATTCTGTGAGTAAGACAAATCTAAAGCGATCTTGGTTACAAATAACTCCTTTTTGATTCCTTGGCTCTTGACCTATATTTCCTATGATTGATTCTGCAGTGACAGCTTTAAGGGAATATGGGATTTTACATGAATACATCCTGGAGTCCGTGATTGAAGAAATACATAGTTATATATATCATATGTTATATATCTGATTCTGTACTATATCTCTTAAAATTAGTTGTGCGGCTATCTAATAAGTTGGATTTCCACCTTGTTTGTTGTTTGTTTTTTCTTTCTCCTTCCTTTCCCTTTTTATTGAATGATGTATTGAATGATCTTGGCACAGTGGGCTGTATCTCAGCCTTTCTGTATTTAAATTCAAGATCTAACTGTGCTTGCAGTATGACCTCTCTGAACCCAGAGAGAATGGTGGATGCTTGAAACAAATCCCTGCATGAAGGGCAACCTGCTGTTGTGCTTTTTATTGAAGGATTTCCCCCCCATCCCATTGTTGAATGTGGACAGAAGAGGGAGAACTGTTACTTGGAAACAGATAGGATTTCTATACAAATAGCTGCTTTTATGTTTAGCACATGTTTATGGAAACGTATTGTGAAGGTCAGTTGCTGTCTTTCTGACCTGGAGAGAAAAGCAGGGCAATTGCTGGGGTGATATGCAAAGGAAATCCAACTTAATGGACAGTGCAGTTTACATTACAGAGTCTCCTCCAATCTCTTCAGGAAGCAGCCCCCTGAAATACATATGTATCTTTCTTTTTATTATGCAGGTATTGGAGAGAAGTATTCAACATGGGAGCCAACCAAACGTGAACTAGAGCTGCTTCGACACAACCCCAAGCGGAGAAAAATAACTACAAACTGTACTATAGGTAAGAGAGGATCAGCGTTTTCCATACCGTTCCACGATAGTCTGTAGTATCTGCAATTCATGATGATTGTACGTTCTTTTATTTTTGCTTGTTCTGTGTGACTGCACATTGATTTCAATCAACTATTGAAGGCAGTGATTTTCCTGCTGAAGTCTTCAAAGGAAGAGACTTGGGTGCTGCTTATACTGTATATTCATTGTAGGGAACAAAATATTACTATTGCCACTAATGTCTGGAAATACAGTGACCCAGTGATAAAAAGTCCAAAGCACAAAGGGTCTTGTCTATCCTGTTTCACCATCAATATACATGGCAACTTGTGCCAGGACTGATTGCGTGACCAAGTTGGAGCATTCATTTCAGGACTGCAATTTGTTTGCAAAGATGGAACAAGCACATGGCATCATTTTTCTTCAGCTTTTGATTTACTCTTCAAGATAAACCCTTGGGACTTTCTTCTTTTTTCATAGATCGTGTCATTTGGCAGCTCACGCTTTTATTTATTTGTGTGTTCTAAAGGAGAACTAATTTGAAATGCAGGTGTGTTCAGGAAAAGAGGATTTGCAACCAGTGTTATTTCTAGACCTTTTTAGGTGATGGATAATCTACCTGTCACTCACTTGAGCTCTATGTAGAAAAGGCCATAACTGTAGAGAGCAGGGTTGTGGAGTTTTTTTGGCTTTACAAATGATGTTGGGCTCCTTTCTGAAAGCCTTAGCTGACATAGCCAGTGGTGTGGGAATTGCAGTCTAAAAATATTTGGAGGGCCACAGTTGTCCACCATGATGTGAAACTTCCACACGCTGGGGTATTAGTGTGTCTTATTTTGGGGCCAACTGGTACATGCATATATGGCAGTGTCTGAATAGAATAGAATTAAACAAAATTTCCTAATTTGAAAGATACGAGTCTCAGATTTATGGCTGGGTACTCTAAACAACTTTTGGCACCCTCCCATAATGCTGATGCTGGCAAGGGTTTGTAGGATTTGTAATCCAAAATATCTGGAGACTTTCAGCATACACAGGATCTGGATCAAAGACTATTTTTCAGTGCTTGTAGGTTCAATATACATCCACAGTATCAGTTTTGTAATTAAAGCAAGATAGCATTTAATGGTTAATGCTGTCAATATTGCATTACAGCATGCATTAATGGGAGACTAATTATAAGGGAAAAAATGGTTTCATGACACATGGGTTGGCAGATTAGAGAAATAAATGTAAAGCAGTACCAGTAATAAAAAGAACTGAATTTTCATTATGACAATCTTGCTATAGCTGTGTCCTTGATGTAAAATGACATAAGGTGTAGCATTGTGTTAGCGGGAACATCTGCCAATATTCTAAGGTGTTTATTAGAATTCTTTTTCAATAATATTGGCTTTTTTTAAAAAAAAATGTCCAATTTTTAAAAATAACACTTCAGCTGAATAATTTTCAGACTGCTTTTGGTCCAAACATCCTATCTGTGTGTATAGGTGTGCATACGAAATTCCAGGATGGGATGGGCTCTTACAGGACTTGGTACGTTCCTTTGTTCTCAGCCAGTACCTGTTTAAGTTCAGTGTCTCTGCCAGTGTCTGGCCCAACATGGATTTACATTGGATGTGTGGGTTGACTGAGCTTTAAAACTGGGTAATGTGCTTTGGAAAGAATGGGTCTTGGAAAGAATTGCAATTATCTTAACATTTGACAGTGTATGTGGCTTTATTTTTCCTTTAGTTTATTTATCTGCACAACAGATTATTAGTGTTGGGTCAGGGTGAGAAGCCAGGAAGAACAAATACTTTTTCACACAATCCCGAGCACAAAATCACAGAGACACAATCACTTGGCTATTATTTTAATGCAAATTGGTCTGCAAGTTCCTTTCTGTTCTGTAGCAGCTACCCCCCTCCCCCACCTCTCTCTCTCTCTCTCTCTTTTACATTTCAAGATTTTTTAAAGGCTTCAAATAAAGATGCATACTTTCTCGTGACTTTCAGCTCTTTTCATTCATATGATGTTTCTAAGTATATTGCACTGCTTATTCTTCTGCCATATTTTGTTATTCCTCTTACATATTTCTTATTCTTCGGATATGAAATAACCTGTTTTAAGTCAGTAATTTTGGTGCTGTTTTGGATTGTCCTGTGTCTTTCAGTTTTTTAAAAAAAATTCAATATATAACCAATTCTTGTTACTTTTACTTTCTTTAATCTCTAAATGGCACCCTTCCATCTTCTGCTACGCAAACTATGCATATGCATAATGCTTTAACTGTTGTATGTTTAATCTGTTCTTCTTTCTAATCTTCTTCTTTTCCATCTTCAACATCTTTTTTTTAAGCTTTGTTTTTTTCCTTCAGCTTGTCCATTCTACCTCTCACTGGAACCATATTCTGCTTTCTCGCTATCTCCTCCTCCTCTCCTCTCCCTTTCTTGGAATGTAAACAGGCATAAACAGTCATTCTTGTTCATCGTTAATTTTACTTCATTCTGATGGTTCATTGTTGCTTCTCCAGTCTAAGATTCCTTCATTTGATTCCTGAGAAAAGAAACTGGGTGGGAGCAAAAACAGAGAAGGGTGGGAATTTTTCTTTTTAAACTTAGGTGGACTTGTTTGCGACTTGTATTGTTAAGCTCTCTTGCTGGAGATTCTACTTACTCCCTCCTTCCAAAGCAAAAAAGGAAAAAGGATTCCAGCTTCTTCCATCTTACATTGCTTGTTACTGGTCTGTATAATTTGATTGTGGACAGGATCTGCCTCTCTTAACTCTTTGTATAGCACTTGGTTGTTGGTGCTGTATTATTAATCCTTTACATCTATATGTGAATATAAAATCAAGGTATCTATCAAAGTCATAATTGTCATTGCCAATATACTGTTAAAACACTATTGTGTGCAACTGTAGTGACACAACTGGCTTGCCATGTCATGTAAGGATACACCACCCAAGGTTATCAGAAGGAACCTCTTTTCCAGATCCGGCTGAAGACGCAAGAGGCACTCCAAACAAAGTTAGTGCTCATGAGTCTTGCTCTGGAACTTGAGTGCATAAATAACATAAAAACGTACTTTGGGTCTGTGTATCTGCAGTGCTACTTTCAGGAAGTAAATTGAGAAGGCAGAATGGGAAATGAGTGATGAAGAAGAATCTCTGCAACTCTTTAACAGTACTTCAAGGCTAGCGGAGGGGATGGCATATATTGGTGACATGTGGTGTCATGGCTGTGCCCTGAAAACAACAGAAAATAAATGGAGACAATTTGACAAGTTGCTGTTATACTTGGGGGCTTTTAATTCCATCTTATATATACTGATGTCATCAGGGCAATCCAGCCACGGGTCAATCAGCTAGATGAAAACTGGAAAACAATTTTGTATTTGTAAGTTGATAGTGTATGGGACTTCTGAAAAATCAGACAGTTTTTGCATTTTTGTTTTTTGTTTTTGTCCTTAAAGGAATCTAGTGTCTTCCAGAATAGACTTCAGATACTATTAATGTTCCTTTTAGCACAGTATTTGGGTGTTGGGTGGTGGCGGTTGCTGAGAAGTCCTGAATGGAGAAATGGCTGATCTTTCTACTTATTTTGGGTATGCCTTTAATAAGTTTTCTACTGAGCCTATATATGAACATTTAAAGGGGACTCACAATCAAAATGCTCAGGATACTTAGTGGTTTGCAGCTACGTCTGACAGAGAAGGAGTGAGATTTGTTCCACCAAAGTATTTTAGGCTCTTCATTAGAGAAGGAGAGGGGAAAACATCCACATTGTGCTTCAGCCACAACATTTGGTCCTACAAACAGGGAAAAAGATATATTTGCTTCTAGTTCTTCCTCACTGTAGTGGTTTTTCCACTGAGACTGATTCTAAAGCTGAAAAGAGATCCTGCCGTATTGATATGCCTACTTTTTTTTAATTTGCTGTTGGTTATTAAGATATCAAGACTTGTTTGCATAAGATATTAAAAGATCAGTTTAATTTTCTTTCGTTGCAGATGATTAAATAGAAATGCTCCACCACACCTCATCAAAAATCCATAGTTTCTAGCTACTGTTTCTAGGTTACCAGAAAGGCCTATGAAATTCTAGGTTACCAGCAGAAAAGCCTGTGAAATTCCACAGATAGAGACAAATTTTTGGGTACAGGTTTGGTTTGAAGGAGAGAGTTTTGTCCTCTTATCACAGCACAACTACTCGTCAGTCATCATCCTCTTCTTGTGCTGGTATACAGTGCTGCTTATGCTCTTCCTCACTGGAAATGAAGAATATTTAAGACAGTGTTGATGCTTAGAATATTTGTGTTCTTCTCTTGTACCATTTGTATCATTTGTGGAGATGGAGAAGGGAGTGGTCCCCATAATGCCCCCAGCCAGGCATTATTTGTCCTCTTGATCCAGCTTTAAAAAATACACAAGAATAATCTGTGAATTTGCATTCTCTGTTCATGCCTTACTGGTTTATTTGGGGAAACATTGTGTTGGTAAACTACTTTTGTGACATATCATTTAGTTAAACCCGGAATAATTGTTTGTAACATTAAAGCTAAACAAAAACATTATTGTTGTGTGCACAAGTATAGAAATTGTGTCATTCTGCTTTACATACTGTTCTTCTACATGTCTAATCTTAGGATATTACACCTCTCTCCATACTGGATGATGGTGATGATATTTACATTGTTACTGTGGTATCTCTTACATGGTTGGACTGATTGCTCTGAACTATTTTGAGAAAGAACAAATGAATTGGCAGGCACATGTCATAACTGTACTACTTGAGAGTGTTGGTTATGTGGGTGATATGTTGAATTTTTCTTCTCCTTCCCACAAAAAAGTCTCTGGACTTAAGAGAAGTAGATAATTAGGGAGAATGACGTTTGGCAGGGGAAGGGAGTATCCACGGAATCAGATACTTAATGAAATGAGGTGTTCCTTTCTACTCACTGGAAAAAGAAAAAAATGTGTTTCTGTGTCAGTTAAGTGGAAGGTGATGATGATGGACCAAAATACAAA